AGGTGTGTGTGTGTGTGTGTGTGTGTGTGTGTGTGTGTGTGTGTGTGCGTGTGTGTGTGTGTGGGGGGGGGTTTAGGGATTTATTCCTTTCCTCCCCTAAACTGATTTCATGCCCAAATGTGTAGGATGAAAGAAAATCCAATGGCTCCTTGGGTTTAATGTTCAGATTGACTGTTTTACGCTGCTGACACACACTGTAGAAAAACACTGGCAACAAAGCAGAGCTAAACAATCTCTGCAGAGTAATTTAGATGGTGTGCATTTCTTTACAACCTGTCTGGGCCCCATGCACTACAGACAAACAGCATCTTAATGGAGCACCTGGAAGCAGTGGAGAAGTTAATGTCTCTTTGTCGTGAATGTTATGTCAATTCTATGATTGTTATTATTATCATCATTATTATGGACCATTTATCTATAATAATAAAAAAAAAATCCCATATACAGTATGACCTGCTTTCACTTGCATTAAGGCATAAAAGATGGTTCAAATGTAGCAACAGTGATACACAACCAGCTTATTTGGTAGCCCTATAAGTCTCTTAAAATCAATGTTTAAAAAATTAACATTTTGTTGCCATACAATTGTTAAAAACAACATTTTTGAGCAAGTTATTCTTTTTATTTGACAATTAAAGTTGTTATATGGATCTTTTCTGCCTTGAAAACGTTACAATATCTTATTCCAAAACCTATAGACATCTGTAATTATAGATCGCCTGTAATTATGCACATTTGTCAGCGTTGTGGTTTGTTTGTCATTAATGTGCTTTTCAAGACTAGACTAGAATCACTTTTGATCTTGGCCATTGAAACTAGATTAGTTGTGCAATTGCAATATGTCAACCAATTTACCGTTTCTTGGACGGGCCAGCGGAACAAGCTCTTTTTCCAGAAAACTAAAATAAAACACACACATACACACACACACACATACACACGAGTTCTTGGAAAGAGTTTTTGTTTCCATAGCAACACGGAGGGCAATTAAGGTAGGTTCCTGTGTAGCAACGGGTGGGCGGAGTTAGTAAGCTCCTCCCCTCTACATCCCATAATGCTTTCTTTTTTAACCGGCCCAGTTGCCATGGATACCACAGCCTCCAGGAGGTCACTACAGAGTGCCTGCAGCCCTCCTCTGTTTTATTTATCCTCTTTTTTTTAGGCTTTCCTGGAACACTCAGGCAGGTCTAAAGCTGGATTGATGCATATTTATAAGACAGACAGGCGGGCTTAGAGACGGAGAGGAAGGTGAGAACGAGGGATAGAGGAAAGGAGACAAAGACTGACGACGAAGCTACTGACAGCTGAGAGGAAATTAAAGAGCTGATGACAGAGTGATGCTCCGTCTATACTTCGGTGATAGTCTACGAAAGGGATTTTCTTCATATTTAATCGCAATGAGAAGAAATGTGAGGCTTTCCCTTTCCTGCTTCTGCATTTGTTTTTATACCTCTGTTTTCTCTTTCAATCCAGTCTCGTGAGAGTTTAAAGACTGCCCCACAGAAATACACACAAACACACACAGTTCAGAAACACAAAGGAAATATAGTCCTGCGGTTCAAGAGCCCAGTATTAATATTTCAAAGCATCAGGGGAAATGATCAGCCACGATAAATAAAACAAAACGACAAATGTATGTGAGAAGGTTCAGACACATTACATACATACATTAGTTAATAAATAATGTCAGAAATCTATAAAATAGAATAAACAATCACTGTGTGCGATATATTTAGTGCACTACATTTAATGTTTGTCATTTTATGTGAAATCAGAGTTTTAATAAATGGTCTTTACGGCGCCCTCAAAAACTCTCAACATAAAACACAAAAAAGTGTCAGTAAAAGGTTATAGCTGTCGCACACTTAAACTACACCTGTCAGTGATAAACCTAAATGATAATTAAATCTCAGTTACAGCTATTGGTACTTTCAAACAAGTGAATTACAAAATCAGGTTGCACAATTAAAAAGTAAGACAATCAAAGCTAGTAAAATAACGACAACATTTTGGGAACAGAAAAATGTGAGTTAGACAGATATTATATTTGTATTCGAGAACTTAGTCATATCATAAATCTGACTAAGGGTATTCTAGGAAGAGGAAATGTTGTATTATAAACAGTTTTATAAACAGTGTTGTATAGTTTGCTAAAGTAAATGTAGAATATTGTAAAGTCGTTTGTATTTTTATTGTAGTCTGTGTCATTATTCTTACATCGTAATCCCTGTACTGGTTTGGCAACGCTGTACTTCATTATGTCCTGCCAATAAAGAACAATGGAGAGACAGAAAGTGAAATGCAAATAAGAAACAGAAAAAAAGCAGCAGCAAGACACGGCAGTACAGGGAGAGAAGCGAGCGCCGGGTGATGGAGAGTAAGAGCTGCAGAGATGGAGGCAGATATGTTTCCCCAGACGTACCAGTGAACCTGATGGCCATCTATGTGACCGTGCACATTTTATTACTCCATTAAATAACCCACTGACTAACAAAGAAACAGGCCAAGTGTGGGTACCAGGCCATTAATAACAGGCATAAACCTCAGAATAATGGATTGGGCTATCTGTGTGGAGCAATGGAGTGCAGATGGGTCTGTAGATTCATGTTCGGAGGAGAAGTGAGGCACAATATATGGAGGACCCAGGGTCAGGTTTTATGCACTTTAACTTTGGGCAGGTTAGGGTTAAAAGTTCAAACAGTGGCAAAACCTCAGTTCAGATTAGAGTTGAATGACATTAACAAATGTCTCTAGCTGTTGATTGATGCTGAAACTCACAGACTCACTCATGTCTTACTCATTATTGCAATTGCAAAAATGGTCTGCCTGTCCCAAACTGGCTCACACATTGTATAGCAAGCAATTGACTATTCAACCACTTTAACCACCTTTTTTTTCAGTTGATGATTAGTGTTTTTCTTGTCAGCTAAAAGGAGAATAAACTCTGGGGGAACCCATCAGGAATGAGGTGTGCTGCAGTCACGGAGATGATGCAATCTGCTGGGCCATACCATCAAACCTCGCTCTCTGCCTCAGGGTGCAGTTTTGAAGAGTGAAATGTTTGCAGTGCTACTTTAAAATGTATTGAAATTCCTAAGTGAACCCTGTGAGAAATGTGAAAAAGCTCCGTGACCATGCATTCGAAATGCATGATGTAGCAGAATAGTTGAGAAAAGAATAAAAAAGTGAATGGAAAAAGCTTGCCAAATCTTAAATGTTTCTTAGTTTGCTGCTTACTATACTGACTTTATTTTCTCTTTCTCTGTTTGTGTGTGTGTGTGTGTGTGTGTGTGTGTGTGTGTGTGTGTGTGTGTGTGTGTGTGTTGTGTTCAAAGGTCGGAGGTCACACCATGCTGCCGATTCGTTGGATGCCCCCTGAAAGCATCATGTACAGAAAGTTCACCACGGAGAGTGATGTGTGGAGTTTGGGAGTGGTTCTCTGGGAGATCTTCACGTATGGAAAACAGCCCTGGTACCAGCTCTCCAATAATGAGGTACATATTATTTTACGTCACAGTGGTGTAATGTGTTATCTGAATCAAAGTACCAAGCAACATAACTTTATGTAAATGTTATCTCAGAGAGCCCTTCACCTTAATAAGTGATGGTGAACAAGATGTTGCTGCCCCGAGATATGAGGAAACAGACCTTGAGTTAAAAACAAGTCTAAATATTTGATCAATTTCGTGTTCAAGTTCCTCACACCGTAGTGAATCTTTTGGCCTTACCCCTCTCACTATATAAAGCTGAAGCAAATCATTTCATTGTGTCTTGAATACATTTTGAGGAAACACAAAGCTGGCGGGCTGGAGCAAGCTGCTGCACTAAAAGCTTTCCTTGGCTCACAGTGTAGCGAGAGTAAAGGTGCTTTTGTTGTTCGGTTGGTGTATGGCAGGTGTGTCTTCAGTTTGAGGAGACTTTTTTCCAACCCTTTTTTCTAAAGGGCTTGCAAAATGTATAATATTTGTTGTCATGGATCCACAGATTTCCTTATCTGGTCACACTGATAAAAGAAAATACCCTTTTCTAATGGTTCAGGATTCAAACTCTTTCATAATTGTGTAATTTTAGTCAATTATGTACATGCTTTGTACTGCATATCACTCAGGCTTTTCTTTTGTAAATTTACAAACTAAAATAGTAAGAAGTGTACATTTCCTACTATATCTAGAGTTTTTTAATTGTAGTGTGAGTGTGGCGACCATACATGGATTCATAGAAGATGGAATAGTTCACTTGCTTTAAACATCAAATAAGAGCTGGAACAAGCTCATAGACAAATACAGTTTGATATTGCCAGACAGTGAATATTTTACCTAGTTTCACAACTATAAAAAAGTGAATATTAAAAGGGTTAGACTGTCTAATAAACAAATAACTAAAAATGTCCTTGGAAAATGTGTTCAGGAAGAAGAGTCGTTTTGATTGGAATAACAAACATTTAACAAGTTAACATTTTAATAAATAGAGAAGTAATCAATGGGCTGTTTTAATCTGAATTATTTATAACTGTTACAAATCAGCCCTTTAAAATGTTCAGGGTCTCAACCCGGTTTCCGGAAAACAAAGCTGTGTAGAAGCCCTTCAACCCTTCACCTCGACCCTGTGGTGTCCTCAACTCTGGTTACAGCTTTTTGACCTTGTCAGCATCTTCTTTTCTCCTGATTCACTCTGGTTACATGCACAATTAACCTTAAGCCCCCTTTCACGGTCTCTTCTTTTCCCGTTAACATCTATTACATCTCCCTCAAATTGCAGTTCACTCACCTCCTGACCCAAATCTGATCAAATATCTTAAGTAGGAAATAGATTTTTTTTCAAAATGAGATATTAATTATGGGTTTTCTGTCACTAGCTGATAACAATCACAAAAAATGAGGAGGAGTAGGATTTGGGAAATTATGATACCAATCTGAATTCTTAATAATGTAGAGATCTTATATGATAATCTCCAGGTATTACAATTATTTAATTGGATGTATCACAATTTGGAAGACACAACTGGTTTTTTGAGCTTGCAGTAATATCCATAAATTGGTATTCATTCCGCACACGCAACAGAGTGTATTTAAGGTTTGAGGCACTGATTAAAAGCCGTAATTATAGTTCAGTATAGATATTTTACTAACCGCTCCCAGAGAATGATATATACACACTCTTTGTACCAGAGCTCTCCCCTATATAGTATGTTGTGTTTCCAAACATCTCCACTCCAGGATCTACAAATCCTCATCCTGCAGTAGAGTTAAAACTTAAATCTGTAGATGTTTCAAATAATACACAAGTCTTGGAGTGTGTTAAAACAGACCATTTTCCCTGACTCTTCTGTGGAGAAATTGGATTCGATTTGTGTGGTCTACTGCTCTAGTGTTGCCTAACTTCGTCACTGCAGTCAATTTATTCACAGTGACATTTTCACTGTATGCCACTGCAGTGAGGTGGAACAACCTCACCAAGCTGATGCTCCATCATCTTCAACGTGCAAAGAGTAACCACTCTCAGCTTAGATCTTTGAGGATGTTCCTGTTTTTAAATCCTCACTGAGACACACTTCTTCTCTAAGTCAGAGCTGATTACGACACCTGACATTTCCCTGTGTTTTGTTTTTTATATTTCTGTTGTAAATTATTCTCTTTTCTTGTTATTGTAGTAAAGTGTTTTTATTACATGTACAGCACTTTGGCTCGACCAAAAATCGTTTTGAAATAATGTGCTCTATAAATAAAACTTGATTTGATTGGATTTGATTTGATGCATTTCTTGTTTTGTAATAGAAGAATTCCACCGAGGTTAAACTTGATGTCTGTCTTTCTCTGCTCCTCTGCAGGTGATCGAGTGTATAACCCAGGGCAGGGTGCTGCAGCGCCCCAGGACCTGTCTGAAGGAAGTGTACGACCTGATGCTGGGCTGCTGGCAGAGAGAGCCGCACATGAGACTCAACATCAAAGAAATCCACTGTCTGCTCCTCAATCTGGCCAAAGCTTCACCTGTATACCTGGATATACTTGGCTGAACCCAGGAGGAGAGAGGATGTGTGTGTGTGTGTGTGTGTGTATGTGTACTTAAGCGTATATGTGTATTTGAGGTTGCATGCATGTGTGTGTGTGTGTGTGTGTGTGTGTGTGTGTGTGTGTGTGTGTGTGTGTGTGTGTGTGTGTGTGTGTGTGTGTGTGTGTGTGTTTGTGTGTGTGTGTGTCTGTGTGTGTGTGTGGTGGTGTGTGTTGTTGTGTGTGTTGTTGTGGTGGTGTGTGTGTGTGTGCCTGTGTGTGTGTGACTGTTTGGCATGGTGCGGCGAGTGTGTGTGTGTGACTTTTGCTGTTGTGGGGGGGTGTGGACTGACTGTGTGTGTGTGACTGTTTGTGTGTGTGGGAGGGGTGTGTGTGTGTGTGTGTGACTGTGTGTGTGGGGGGGGGTGCTGGCGGGAGAGCGATGCCGAGAGTGCGGGGGCCGCGGTGAGAGAGAGAGCGAGGACAGTGGCGATCAGTTTTACTCTTTTATTTTGGGAACTTGTGTTTTCCGAATTGAGAAGAGGCGGGAGAGAGGCCTATTGCGGAGGGTAGGGGCATGTATGTTACAGGTTCTCAAGAGAGAGAGAGACGAAGGGAGGCGAGAGGGGAGGGAGCTCAAACTCGTCGGAGGAGAGAGTTCTCTCTGAAAGCAGGAGCTCAAAATCTCTCTCAGTTACCAAAGGTTCCTGCTTCTTCACAGAGTCTCTCCAGCACAGGTTAGCTGCTGAGTGTTACGCAATGCTAATGTAAACACCAAC